ATAACATGGTGCTTGTACTTCTCCTGGAATTGGATAATATGCACAATCATTTTGAGAATATGCCTTCCATCCACAACATCTATATGCAACTTCAGTAAATGCTTTTTGATCAGAATTTAAACCATTCCAAAAATGAGTTAAACTCCAATCAGGAAATGCAACTCCAATAAAACTTGTTACTGTAGTACCAAGAAAAAGAATAGTAACTACAACACATCCACCAATATACTATTTATTTTATTAATAATTATTTTTATTATGTTAAAAATAATAAAACAAACAATATATATGAATATTTTCTTTAATTGGAATCCACTATATATTCCAATTAATGATGTAATTAATGCCACTGATGAACCACAAATACTAAATGAAAGAATCCATTTTATTCCACTTGGAATAAAATGCATTGAATTCTTTAATAACACAAATAATACAACTGAGATTAATAATCCTACAGTCCCAAGTGTCTAAATTTATAAGTCCATTTTTAATTTCTTGTTTCTAAGTATTAACAAACAAATAAGAAAATACTAGTTGTTGAAAATGCACGTTTGGTTGATGGCATTTTTTCTTAGAAATAATTATTTTACAGTTCTAATTATTTTTTTCATTTTTTATTTTCTTTCTTTTTTGTTTTTTCAAAAACATAATTTCTAATTAGAAAATAATAATATTATTATTATTTTATAGTTATTTATCTTTCTGATAAATATGTTTTTTATTTCACTTTAATTATCTCTGATTCAATAAACATATTTATTCATAACTTATTCATTATTTATACTTATAACTTTTTTTATGATTCATGATTATATAAATTTGTATTTGAATGAAATATAAAATGTTATTAATATTAATTATCAATTAAACAAGAATAACAATAAAATAATCTCTTTATTAATTCACATTCTTTCTATCAATTAACTAACAATGAATTTAATTAAAAACATATACAATAACTATTATTATTTGAACTTTTCTTCTTTTTATTCAATTATTAATAGATAATATTAATATAAATATATGAAATACTAGAATCAAAAGACAGATATTTATACATTAAAACGAATATCATAATTACTTAATAAATACTAATTGTGATTTTTATAATTATTCATTTCCCAAATAATCATTTAAACATCTCTAAAAAATATTTAAAAACCAATTTTATTATGAGACTATTACTATTTTATTATTGTTATTAATGAGGAATAAAAAGAAATACTTTTGATATGAAATACATTTACTTTTTTATTTATAACCAACAAATTTTAAATAACACAGATGAAGAAAATTATATGACAAATACTTTTTTTTTCAATTTTTCATTAAACAAATCAACTTATAAAAAAAATTCTGGCAGCACATTAGAAGAAGAACAATCTAATGCGAGCATGCTAGAAATGAACTCTATTACACCAATAGAGCATATTGAAGAAACTGAAATAATCACTTCTCAGTATGAAGAAAATCCAATTGTGGATATATCTAATAATTGACCTTTTTTTTTTTTTTTTTTTTTAAACAAATCAACTTATAAAAAATGTGTAAATAACAATTATTTATTAACAAAGAATAAATGTCTTTATTAAAACATTACTAATAAGATAATTTACATACAAAATATTAGTGATTAAAATTATAAAAACAAAGAAATTCTATTTCTTTACAAAAACAAAAAGAACTAAAAAAAAATAATTTAATTTTGACAATAAAAGATGGATATTATCAAATTATTATTTATAATTATAATAGTACATATTATCATTCTTAGTATTGGATGTATGTTTGCTTTTAATATAATGGTAGGTATATTTGTGTTAACAATCCCAACTTCTATTCTTTCTTTTCTTTATGTTCAGTATAAACCTCAATTAGATGAATTATCAAAACCAACACTTCCATTTCAAAATAAGAAATCACTTGATTAAAATAATAGATATTGTTCTTTTCTAATACTACCAGTTTCTTTAAGTTTATTTTTTTTTTAAACATTAATTTTCAATTATACAGAACTAGTTAGACTTTCTAATGACTGAAGAGTATCTACTTGGCTTTGAAGAGCTTCAAAAAATAATTTAACTTTTTGACAATCATCTAATAGTCTTTGTCTATCATTTTCATTTCCTAAATTAATATCATTCATTTGTTGTTCTGTTTTTTTCATAAATAGTTCTAACTGATTTAATTCCTTTTCTAAGTCAATAACCTTAGACTCTTTTCTTTTTAAACGAAGAATTTCACTAGCTTGTTGTGCAACAATAGCACGTGTATGTTCAAGTTCAGTTTGTGTATCAATTAATTTTATTTGATATTCAAAAGAATCAATTGGCTTAGATTGGTTTGCAGTCATATGACTATATAAATAATAAGTTCAGTTCTTTTAACCAATTAAATTTTTCTTTAAATTTTTGATTCTTTAAAACCAAACCAAAAAGAGATTTTGAATCAACAAAGTTCATAAGATCATTTAGTATCAACAATTTCTATTTCTGTTGCATCATCTTTTGGTGTAACAGACTTTCTTGAAAAATTAATTGCTGCAGTTATTGCTATGTTGTTAATTACTTTAAATAATAATTTTATTATTAATGTAACAAACGAGTTCGACATATTGGACATTGGTGTGTTCTTTCTTTAACTTCTTCATAACATCCAGCACACATAGTAATATGTCTACATGGTAATAATAATATTTCTCGTGGATCTGTTGTACAAATAACACAAAGATTATCAGTACCAGTAACATCATCACTATCAACACCAAATACATCAAATGAGTTATATGTAACATCACCAATATGAAATTGTTGACTAGAAATTTTTGGTACTTCACTAGTTAATAAAATAGTTACAGAGATAGAATCAATCAAAATATATTCAGTAAGTGGAATATTAGCATTTACTGATTTTGTAATGTCAATTGTTAATGCTAAAATATTACTTATATTTGGAATTGACACTTCTTGTTGCATTTGAGCTGGTAATTCTTTTGTTTCTAAAATTTTTTTTTGACCTTCAACCATTGTATATGCTTCAAGATGTGCTTCTATAGCACAATCAATTAAAAAATGAAGAAAACCATTACTAACATGTAATGTCATTTTATCAATACAATATAACACAACGTGTTTAATTTGTGCATTAACTAATGGAACATCAGGTTGATTTTCTTCCATTTCTGTAGGAGGGGTATTAGGTATTTGTTCTTCAAAAGGAATTGACTGAGTGATTCCCATGTTTTACAAGCAATTTGGACTATTTAATAATATTTTAAGATATTTAATCTAAAACAATAATTCTTTTTTTTTTTAATTAATTAAACATTTGAATGAATATAACAAAAAAAAAGAAGTGAAAAGAGATAAATGTAGATCATATGACTTCGCAAAAGATACCTCTTGATTTTATTAAAAGTATGTTAAGTGCAAATGGATTCGAAGAAATGAGTGATGAAATGATTAATTTAATTTCAGAAGAAGCAGAAAATTCAATTAGTGAATTATTCAATGTTTGCTTACATAATTATTTTATGGTAATGATTTTAATAAAGTGTATCACTAACAAATGAATAGGAAGCTACTAAATTTATGAGACATTCTAAACGTAAAATATTAACAATTCAAGACATTAATTCTGCATTAAAATTAAAGAAACTCGAACCATATTATGGATATAATCCATCAATTCCATTATATTATCAAAGACTTCCCTCTAATCATGAAATGTTTGTACGACAAGAACAAAGTATTGGATTAAATGAAGCTGTTCATTGTCAATTTTTCCCAGATATTCCACGTGATATTAATGTTGGATGTCATTGGTTAACTGTAGAAGGAGTTCAACCATTAATTCCTCAAAATCCATCAGTTGTTGTTCAAGAAAAACAAAAACAAGAAGAAACTATTGAAACAAAACCAATAATTCAACATTCATTAAGTAAAGAATTACAAATGTATTATGATATGGTTGTAGAAATTCTTAACACTAATAATAAAGAAAAAATTGATGAATGTTTAGATAGTGTAAGAACAGATTCTGGATTGCAACAACTAACACCATATTTTATTAGATACATTTCAAATCATACATTGGCTAATCTTGGTTCATTAGAAATATTAGCTAATATGTTGTCTTTAGTAAATGCTATGAGAGAAAATCAAAACATTAATCTTGAACCTTATTTACATCAATTATTCCCAGTTATTTTAACTTTAGTTGTAACAAAACAAATTGGCACAAATTCTTATGATAATCATTGGAATATTCGTGTTCAAGCTGCTGCTATTGTAAAAAAATTACGTGATCGTTATTCAGAAAAATATGGTCGTCTTCATGCTCGTTTACTTCAAACATATTTACAAGCTATTACTGATGCAACAAAACCTTTAACAACTCAATATGGGGGAATTGTTGGTATTACTGCAATGGGACCACGTGCTGTTTATCATTTATTAGTTCCAGCAATGAAATCATTAAAAGAGAGATATCTTGGAAGTAGTAATGAATGTAAAATGTGTTTACAAGCACTTTTTGATGCTGCATTTATGCTTGCTGAAAAAATGAAAGAAATGATGATGGATTCAAAACAAAATGTTTGTGATGAACTTCGAGATAAAAAGAAAGAATTAGTTGCTGATGAATTTAATATTGATGAGACATTTAAAACACTTCATGAAATATTTGGGGATGTAATAGTACCAACAAGTTTAGTAGATCCAGATATAAAAAATATTACTCTGTAATAAATTTTCTGAATTTAATTGATTTATTAATTAAATTAACATTTTTTAACTATTTTTTTTTTATTTGTTATTAAAAAAAAATAAATTTAAAAAAACTATAAAATAATATTTATGTTATTCAATAGAAATTATAAATTTTGTTTTTAATGTCATTCCTCTTCTTTTTTTGTTTATTGAAGCAATTTCATAAAACTTCAATAAACATAAAAAAAGAGATAAAAGAACTATAATTTTAGTTATTCAGAATTAAAGATGAATGAAATAACAATAAAAGTGATATTACTTTTTTCTATTTACACTTATGCACAACAAACATTTTATCCATCACTAATTCATTCAATAAATTATTCAGAATATTTTAATGAACTACAAGAAATACAAAAACATAATATTAAAATACAAAATATTAATGAAGATCTTTTAAATAATACAAATGACAATGATGATGATCAATTTAATTTAGAATTACCTGATGAAATATTGTGGGAAAACTTTTGTAAATATTTTAATAAAAGTTATTCAACTACAGCAGAAAGTAATTATAGAAAAAATATTTTTATGGTTTGTAAATTGTTTTATATTCAAATTATCATTAAACTGATATTCATAATATCAAATAGGAACAAATTAAAATATATAGATATTTTAATTCATTATCTTCTTCTAATATTACTGCTGTATTTGGTATAACTATATTAAGTGATAAAAGCCTTTCGGAAATTGGTTGTTCAAATCCAAAGTCTTTAAAAAATTCATCAATAATCTTCCCACCTCCAATCCTTCCTCAAATAACTGATCCTCCTGCATCTTTTTCAAGATGTGGAAAATACACATTAAATAATTCTAATTCAATGAAAACTGATGACTTTTGTACTGATATTTATTGGTCAGGTTGTGATGGTTGTTATGCATTTGCAGCAAAAGAAATTGCATTTATTTCTTATAAAAATCAAACATTAAAAAGTGCATCAATTAATACAAATTTATATTTTGATTGTTCACCAGAAGCTAAAGGATGTTGTGGAGGAGATACTGAAGAAATATTAAAAGATTTTCCTTATGTATATTTTCAGAATGAAAGTTCTAGTTTAGAACCATCACAATATCTTTCATGTAAACATGAAAAATGTTTTCTTCAACATCCTAATGGATTAGTAAAAAATATTATTGAGTTTGGCTCAATTAATAAACCAGAACAATTTAAATCATTATTATTAGTATATGGTCCATTTGTTTCTTCTATAAAATTATTTAATGGAATTCAAGGATATAAATATGGAATTTTAGATATAGAACATTGTAAAAATGAATCAGTTATTGCTTCTCATTCTATTGTTGTTGTTGGTTATGGTACTCAAAATAATTCTAGTTATCTTATTATAAAAAATTGGTGGAACGGTTGGGGAGAAGATAACAAAGGTTATATGAAAATTTCAATGACTAATTCTTGTGGAATTGGAACTCAACCAGAAGGAAAACAACCAACAAATTATATTATTCAATTTTATTATTGTGAAGGAGATTCTTATTGTATTGATTGTGATAAAGAAACTGGTAAATGTCTTGAATGTAGTTATTTATCCAGATTAGACAAAAATGGAATGTGTACAAGAGAATGTCCTGATGATTGTTTAACTTGTGATAAAGCTCTTGAAGAATGTTTTTCTTGTAAAAATAATGCAATATTACAAGATGGTAAATGTGTAATAAAATGTCCAAAATATTGTAAAACGTGTGAAAGAGAAACTCTTGAATGTACTTCATGTCAACCTTCATATATATTAAATGGGACTGAATGTATATACAACTGTACTGATGATTGTGAGATTTGTGATCCATACAATGAAACTTGTATTAAATGTAAAGATAAGTCTGAACTTCTTAATGGATATTGTAATGTATTATGTCCTGTTGGATGTAAGACATGTGATAGAGAATCACAACGATGTTATTCATGTAAAAGGTTCTATCGACTAAATCAATATTCTTGTGTAAGTACTTGTAAAGATAAATGTATTGATTGTGATAGTTCAAATACTTTTTGTGAATTATGCGAAGTTGGTTATACTCTATTAAATGGGGAGTGTTATTCATCAGTATGTAAAAAAAATTGTCGTTTTTGTAATATTACAACTCCAAATTGTGTTGAATGTTTTCTTCCTTATTTCAGTTACAATGGAGATTGCCAAATCAATTCATTTTTAGCATTAATATTTCTTTATATATTTATCACATTGTCATTATTATTAAATGCATTATTATAATTATACATATTAACTTCTTTTATTTATTTTTTGTATTCTTTCTTCTCTCTTTTTATTTTATCTTATGCACATACTTTTTAATAATTCTGTGATTCTAAATGCCACCTTGAAGTATCTTAATATTATTTCTAACCAGTTATGGTTAACTGTGTCATATGCTTTCCTGATATCGTAGAATGATTCCAAGTATCTTGTTCTGTTTGCTTCTCTTTCATTTCTTTCAATCAGACTTAGTATGCTTCCTCTCTTTGTTACATACTGACATGGGTTTACTTGATATTTCTTTTCATTTCCCATGAGTTGTAGTTCCATTTTATATTTGATGATTGATGTGAACACTTTCATAATTACATTCAGACACGTGATTGGTTGGTAGTTTTCTGTTTTCTTCTTATCATTTCCTTTGTATATCAGTATGGTTCTTCCTGTAACCATTTCTCTTTGAATAAGTTCTGGTAATTCTATCCATTCATTGAATATATCACTGTCTTATCTCTCACACCCACCAATCTCTTCCAGTAGTATTCTTGGATACCATCTATTCCACGTGCTTTTCAGCTTGGTAATCTTGTTATAGTTGCTTCTACTTCTTCCCTTGTGATTTTTACACTTTTCCAATTTCTTGTTCCAGTCTCTTTTATCATTTCCTTGATCTTCTCATTCTTTTCATCCATCTTCCTGTGTCTATCATATATTTTCTCCCAAAACAAGAGTGTTTCTTCGTCACTTGGTTTTTCTGACATTTCAATCATCTCTTCTGGGTTTTTATCTAATTTCTTTCC